AATACCTGTCATACTCCTAGCAGCCTCCCCTCTGCCACAAATGCCTCACAGAAGAAGCAGACAGGCCACTGTCAGTCAAGGTTTCAATCCTAAGACCATATTTGCAACAGTTCGTTGTTTCAGATGAGAAGGGGCAAGCCTTTCTCCCCCCCCCCCAAAAAAAAAGCCAAATAATCAGATTTCTACACCCTTTGGTTTTTTATTACCCAAACCTTGCTGTTAGAGCACATGTACTACACCTGATGTTCCCCAGTGTATTCTCTGTATTTTTCCAAATCCACCCATGTTTTATGCAACCATATGAAGTGCTTTCCAACAATTTGAGGCTAATTTAAACCGCCTGTACCAGTTATCTTCTCTGGGAAAAATCATCTCTGAAGCTGTAAGGAAAGATGGCCATAGCTGCAGTTTGCTCACAGGGAATTTTACCCATGGTACTTCACAGCTTCTGGAAAAGCAAAATGTGCTTTTTCAAATGAACTATTCCCTCCTTTGCCCAGCTTCCAGCCTCTTCAACAGAGGCTCTTTTTACAAAATCTTTTTGAAAAACACTCTTTCCATCACATACTCCACCACGTGCCATGTTTAATCTCTGTGTACAAAACACACATTCTGTACCTGGAAGAGAGCCACACCAGGCTGTGGGATCTGAACACCTCAGGTCAGCTCACTGTCCTTGGGTTGCTGAGGCTGCCTCGTTTTGCCCTCATGGCAGAGCCCTGCCTGTTACACACTGCATTTTTTTCAAGAAGGCTCCTGTGTGCACATGTAAGGAGTAAGGCTGCAGGCTGATTAGAACACAGGTTCCAGATGCAGCGTCCAAAATGCCAGCAGTGGGCCACCAGGCCAGAGAAACAGACCCCCGCTCCCTTTTCCACCAGGGACAAACACCCCCAGCTCCCCCCTGCAGCCTTTCAGGAGATGAACTGCTTGGTGAATGCTCCTGCTCCCTCACTGTCCAAAGACAATGGAACAAGGCTGGAGCAGAAAGCAGCATGAGAAGCATCATCTCTTACCAGCCACATCTGGGAAACATAGCTAGAGATTTCTGGATCACCACCTAATAATTCAGTCAACAACAGCAGCTAGGCGAGTGATTTCACACATCCAAGAATTACACAAAACCAGTCTCTGTAGTCACCTTTCTGCTGCTCCTACATTTATCCCCTCTCCTTTCCTCACTTAATGGGGAAAACTATACCCTGTTTTCTGTTACAGCTGCATGATGCCCATAGTACACACCGGACTTCTGACAAAGATTATCCTTAACCTTGCCAGTTTTCTCGAGAGAGAAACTTGCAGAAAAGGGCTGACTGAAAAATTTCACAGTAAGGGGATTTGTGAGCGGCAGTCCAAAAGCTGAACACTTTTGTTAAGAGCAGAACACCTCCATCAGGGATCAGGTTTCTCAACTGCTGGAATTGCCCTTTTCTCTTCAAAGATACAGAACCTGAAATTTGAACCCTGAGCAAACATCCAAGCTTTTAATATTCATCCCAAATGACTTGTCTTTCAAAGGAGCACCAGAGTTGTCTGACACCACTGACCCGAATGCCTTTTCCTCTGCCTGAGGCATTTGCACTTCACTCAGCACATCTTTCCACGCTTTTAAATAACAACTTGTTGCTTCTACTGATGTTACCATATGAAAGAAAAGTGATGTCTTCACCAGGAAGTATTCCAGTGGAACAAGCTTCCAGTGAAGTGCATCATACTGACTCAAGAGATCAGGTAAATGTTAGTAGTTTGCTGCAAGAACTGTCAGCACCATTTAGGATTTCAGAATATAAAAGCTGATGACCTAGCAAAGCCAGACGTTTTTTATTGCACATTGTGTCCCTCTGAATCACAACTGTGAAGTGACACAAGAGAAGCTACCTGAGAGTGATGACTCAAAGATCCAGCCCTACAATTTGTTAGCAGAAACACCGTGACTGTGGTGCAAGAACTAGCTTGTACCTAGCCCGTTTCTCTGCAGAGGAAACTCTTACAACTGACCACGCCTCTGCCAGGAATCAAAAAAAAGCAAACTCCCAAAATTTGCAGTGCAATTTGCATCCTGCCTTCTGATCTATAGCTAAACAAGCTACCATCATAGTCCAGGAACACTTCCCTTCTTGTCTCCTTGCAGGACTAAATTTCCTGTTTTCTTTCTTAACACATATGTAAAATCAGGCTTCTCTTTGAGACATCCTCTCTCTGTCCTCACCTCCATTTCAAAGCAACCCTGAGCCAGACATGCTTGAAGTATATGACCAGAGGATTCCTGACCTCGGTATATAAAAACTAATTTGTAAGCAAAGAGGAGGGGGAGGGATTTTATGTAACATCCAAACAACAAGAGTAATGCATTTATACAAAACAATTCCTTTATTGCTCCACACCACAGGCTTTTACAGCTGGCATCATATAGTAGTGGCATTGAACTTGGAGCTTAGGACTATAAATGTTTACACATGCTTTTATTTCCTATCCTGCTACCCTGACTTCTCGTTCCAGCAGTGGAGGGACTGGAATTTCCCTAGGAAAGAGCACGAGAAACATACTTTGGATACCATTTCAGTGCACACTGTAAAGAGTTCACAGCACAGCCCTGCGATTCTGAAATAGGATGGAAGCAGATGGCACCCCAGCCTCTAGGTCACCCTATTTTTTACTTTTACTTCATGTGCTTCATACCAAGAAGACATATTTAAACTGAAAGCAACTAAAGTCTAAGGTTTTTACTGAAAGAAAATAGCACAGAGCATATTTAGGCATGGAAAAAGAATTTCTGTTGTCAAATCTCTTTTGCTCCTTTCTCAACCCCCCTCAATACCTGTTTTTGTATTCATTGCCAAAATTAACTTGTTGTTATCCTTTTAGTAAATTAGGTATTCTTTACTAATTGCAGTACATACTCTTATGAGCACTGGTAGTACTGGTGGCTGACTGGTTCTCAGCTAACCCTTTGCTTTTGAAACAAAAAGGTTTTGTGCAGCTTCCCTTAGTCCATGGGTGCATGTCTAACACGGACTACTGCTTTTAAAATATATCTCATCTTACATTTCCAGATTTCAGACCCTGGAAATGTATGCAACAGCCCAACTCTGAACTACCAACCCTCTGAGGAGGGAGAGACAAGAGTACAGCAGAGCAAAACCAAGCACGCTAGTTCTGTTGTAAGTAAATTCATTGTTAAGCAGTCTGTTTGGCCCTGCCATTTGTTTCCTCTATTCTTAGGCTTTCTGAACTTTAGAACTTTTCCACAACCATTTTTAGCTTTACAGATACTTCCATTTTTATTTCATAAAGCCAGCTGTGCACTATTGGCCTAATTCAGCTCAAGATCTGAAGTAGGAGGGATATTCAAATCAGCCACCGAGCCCACAAAGTAAACGAACCAGACCTTTGGAGAAGGAAATGCATGGTGAAATATTTCCTTCAGTCTCTTTAACACTTTTAATTGCCCATCCTCCATTGCTGTGCCACCTGGATACTATATTGTTTTTGTTCTGACCCCACTGACCTGGCTCACAAAAACAAAAAGCTAGTTACCGAAAGCCTTTATAAAGTCATGCTTGTTTTCAGCTGAACTATAACCTGGCCATTGCTAAAATGTGGCCCTACAAGGATTTAGTGGAATTCCTGCAAATTGGTTGGTTGTATAAGGCTTGCTCCTTGGCATTTCCAGCTGGCTCTTTATCCCTGCAAGCGGGACTCTATAGCTTTGTTCAAGGTAACTGGACACAAGCAGATAGAGCCTCTTCGACTGCCTCTGGGGGAATATACTGCTGCCTAAGAGGGAAGCTTTTGTAGCTGTTCTGCAAGGAGGGAAAACCAGGAAGACTATGGCTGTTATCAGAAATAGAAATGCAAAAATACTACAGCTACTACCTAGCCCTAAGGGAAAGAAGATTTATTAGCAACGAATAAACAGGTAAGAAGCAACAACTGTTTCTCATTACTTATGCAACAGAACAAAAAAGCTATCTGGTTGCAGCTAGTGGCTACGTACAAAAGCAAAGCATATCTATATGCATAATATTGTTCAAATTGTTTTATCTAGAAGCTCGCTAGAGCAGTAATGCTGCTAGAACACTCAAGCTCTGCAAAACTTGCTTGATTTTTCTTTCGACAACAAGGCAAAGAGGAGAACCTATAAGAGTGGGAAGGGTGTAGAGAGAAAAAGCCACAATTATGGGAAGCACACAGCAATGCGGAGGTTGGCTTTAATGCCAGAACGTAACACACTCTCCCAAATGAGATGAGGAAGTTCAAGAAGAAAAACAATTAAGTTTATGAAGAAAGATTCTAAGTGGTAGGCTTACAGGAGATAATCTTTCCAGTAACTGAGGTCACTCCTAACTCAGAAGATTTTTGTGGATGAAGGCACATGTTTGGCATACTTATAAAGTAATCGACTAAGGAAATCTATTGCCCAACAGTGATATGCTCCTAAGCATATAAGCACAGTAAATTGAAAACCTCTTCATTTACATCAGGCAACAGAGTTCCAGCACTCAGGTCATCTGCATAAACAACAATACACCTCTGCAATAAATGCACCAGAAGATTTTTATGCTGTGCAGCCCAAAAGTGCAGGGATGACCTACATTCTGTAAGAGGTGATTTTTGCCGATGCCTTCGCTGTTGTCTCCTTCGACATTGGAGGAACTTCAAAGAACTTCAACCACCACGGTATTTTTACCGTATTTACTCCGTATTACAAGACTAGTTACACGGGGAAAAGGAAACAAACCTTATTAAAAAAACAAACAAACAAACAAAAAAAACCCACTAGACCTATGAAACCATAAAGCCTCTGCAGATTAAACCTCGGCATCCTTACTTGGTTATTGCCGTGCGGAATTCCAATCTCTTCGGCAAATACAGGAACGGTTATTTAAGGATTCCCCGCCTCTCCCCGGAGCGCCGCGGGGCTTTCCCCGCCCGCCTCTCCTGTGAGGCGGCGTCGGGCGGGACTGAGCGCTCGCTGCCCGCCCCGTCTTGTCCCGCCGTGCCCGGGGAGGCGGGCCGAGGGTCGCGGCTCGGAGCCGGGGGCGGAGGCGATGGCGGCGGAGGCCGCCGACCCGCGGAGAGCCGGAGACCTGCCGCAGCTGGTGAGCGGGGCCGGCTCTGGCTCTGGCGGGGAGCGGGGCCGAGCTGGGGCTGCCCTGGCTGGGGGTCGCGGCCTGGCCGTGGGTCTGCTCGTACGGCCGGGCGAGAGGGGCGGGCGGCCGGGCGGGGCCCCCCCTTCTCCCTTCGCTGTCTTTATTTCCACACACCCACCTCCCTGCAGGCGGAAAATCTGCTGTGTCGGCTGCAGGAGAATTTTCAGGCTCTGACGGAAAAGTTAACGCTGAGAAATATCCTCTTTGGAACGCGGGGTACTTCCACCGCTAGAAAGACTGCGGCTCCTGCCGCTGGGGTCCCGTATGGGGGGAGCTTTGCTTTTAACATCGGGTTGGGCTTCTTTCCTAAACATCAAATTAGCGTGTAATGATTGACATTGCTAAACACCTGTGATGTAAAAACAGCTGAATTGCCCCCCCCAAGCCCATTTATTTACCCCTTTTCTAAGGAAAAAAATCCCAAAAAAGGTTTTACAAGTAGCGAAGTAGTCTCTGTGCGGCAGTTGTTTCAAATAAGCATCAAATTATATGTAAAGATTCTGAAGGTACATTAAAAAAAACCCACAACCATCTTCAAAAATGCAACTCAAATTAGCCACGTGGTGTTGGTTTAAAAACAGCTGTTGGCCTCCTGAGGGTGGCAAGGCGAGCCCTCAGTAAGAGAAATTAAGACCTGAAGGGGCTCTGCGCTTTTTCATTTGATATACTTACAGAAACTACCTCTGCTTTCTGAAACTGCACATTTATTACATTTTTTCTGAAACTCGGCATTTCAGGAAGCAGCTGCTTTAGTGTAAGAGAAGAATAATGTTTTAGCAGCACTCGTATTCTGATTGTGTACGTTGATGGTATGGTATCACCTAAAATAGTTCCTCAGAAAGAAAACAGTCTTTTAGACAGAAAATACTCCACTCCTGGGTATACACAAAGGCTTTTGGTATTAGGAACTTGAGTGCTTGTCTGTTGCAAGAAAGTGGGATTGTCTTGTAACAATACAATCTTGAGCATACTTCATCGGGCATTAAACGTGGATAAGTAAGATGCTGAGGCATCTGAAAAAAAGGTGCTTGTTTTTCTTACAGAAAAAAACCCTGTAAAATTATGGAATTCTTATTTACAAATAAGTTATCTTTAACTTTTTACTGGAAGAAATGGGTGAGCGCATCAATGACCTTGAGAAGCATGTTGCTGACCTGATGACAGAGGCTGGGATAGAAGAGAACACTGATGAAGACTTGAGAGTAAAGAAACTTAATTAAGTGTTTCTGTATTTTATATATTTCCACTTAGTTTTGAATGATGGGCAAGAATTAGCATGAAAATAACGTTTACATATTTATCACACCGGCATTTACATAAATTCAAAAGTGTACTTTTTAAAAACATATTTAAAATTATCTTGGATTTCTGTTTGCCAAGAGCCGAAGAATGCTACCAGTTTTACAAAAGAAAAACTGCATCTTGCTGCGTCTGTTTCAGCTGAGTGCCATGTATGAGGGGGGTAGTGCAAACTAATCCCAAGTATGTAAATTGAGGTTGTACATTTGTAATGAAATGTGTGTGGCTTAAAGTGCTCCCGCCCACCATTCCTGTCCCTCAGGTATGCTAACCTAGCTGACTGAGGATTCCCAGTGGTATAAATTTATGTACATGTGCTTTTAAACCTGCTTCAGCTTCCCAGCATGGCTCAGAGCACACCTCTTACATGCACTCTTAGTATTTATGAGACAGCCTTGCTTCCCTGTTCTGTGGATGCAGGTGATGTTGTCTTCCTGTTGTTGCACACTTTCCTGATTCAAATTGAGACACATCAATTATTCTTGTGATTGAGACTGCTTACCCAGCAAAAGACAGAAACGTCTGTAAATATTCTGAAGTAATTTCGGCCTCTATTCATTGTGATGCCTTTTTTGTGATAAGCTATGAAATAATTTTCAGAAACACAGAAAGACAATCTACAAAGTTGTATTTAACTGTACAGAGATCTCCATATTTTCATGATGAATCACATTCATGAATAATTAAATAACCTACTTACTCACTGTTTCTTTGCAGCATTGAAAGGAGGATGTGTTCAAGAAACACAAAGGCAGAACAGCACTGCATTGACTCCAGGAGTTTACAATCAGTGTCACATTGACAAAAAATGTAAAGGGAAAACAAACATGTTTGCATCATGTCATGACAGAATCTCAATTTTTTTTTTTTTAAACTATTGCCCCAGGAAAAAAGGTAGAATGATGGGTTTACTTATCTAAATGTGGCACTGTATTTCCTGGAGCTGAAAAAGAACGGTTAGTTTCAGAGAAGGCAAACCCACTATTTTGGATAGAGAACTAAATCCTATATAGTGAACTTATCCAATCACAAATTTTTTCAATCTATAAAAATGTATTTCATTTATTTTAATAATATTAAAATAATAAGATTTCTTTGTTGCCTTTTTACCTTTAATGTTCCAGAATAACAAGATCCTTCTAGGACAAAAATTTTTATTTGCATGTGCCATCTTCTTGCTTCTTTAAATGTTTTACATCACAAAATGCACCTTAGTTGATGTTACTACAAAGGTGCCTCAGAGGTCAAATGAATATAAACCATTCTGCACTAAAAGAAATGGCAGTATTTGCACAGAGTACAGATGCTCAGTTGTTACTCTTTTCACAAGCCCACCCAAAGCCACACACCAATGCAGATAATATCACCCAGGTATGCAGATTGTGCCAATTTCAGTGCTTTAATGTTAGCTGTTTTAATGAAAGAGTTTATTTTATAAACTTTGAGGTAATGAGGAATTCTAGTTGTCAGATAATTCCTGAACACGACGTGGCAGAGTCAGAGAAAATAGGACATCTGCATTAATTTTAAGGTTGTTGTACACCAAAACATTGGCACTCTGCAGGAAAGATTTAGCTTGAAAGGTAATGGGAACCTTTTACCATAAATGCAGAAACTGAAGCATTGCCAGGTGAATACCTAATGAGGAATAAATGCATCTATTAGAGTCTTCATTAATATCAAGAAATCATTCCAATCAATGCTTTAGTCAGTGTAGACTTGCAAGTACTGTCACACTAGGGGGAAAGGCTGATGTGCTGGAGGACAGGCTGGAGAAATAAGCCATCAGGAACCTCATGAAGTTCAAAGGCAAGTGCCAAGCTGGGCTCTGGGACACAGCAGTTGTGAGGGGCTGGCTGGCACACTGCTTTGCAGGAAAGGAGTGGGGTCTAGGGGGTGACTGTGAGTCAGCGGGGTGCCCTGGCAGCAAAGGCTGCAGCCACTTGCTGGTCAGCATTAGCATAAACTGAGCCAGCTTATGAGGTCCTTCCCCTCATTCAGTTGCCATGAGATCACACCTACAGTATTGTGTCAATTTGGGGGCTCACCAGGTCAAGAAATCTATTGTGAGGGAAAGCCAAAAAAAAGCCATCAAGATATGGTGGAGTACAAAGCATACAAGGGTTTGAGAGAATTCTGGAATTAGTTCAGCCCTTAGAAAAAACGATGGTTTCCTGCTGCCAACAAGTACCCCCTGATCAAGCATGGGGAAAACTTAGAGGACTCCTGGAGGTGTTTTACACCAGAGAGTAATTTGAGACAAGCTGAAACACAGAAAATTCCAGCTAGATACAAGGAACGTTTTTCTACTAGGAAGGTGCACTGACAGCAGAATAGGCCTTCCGGAAAGGCTGAGGATCTCCATCCTTAAAAGATCACAGAATCATCAGGGTTGGAAGAGACCTTCAAGATCATTTACTCCAAACAAGATACTTTACACTGAACACTGTCCTGGGCAACCTAACCAAGTGGGACCTACTATGACTCGAGTTTGGTGGTCCCTGCCAACATAAATGATTGCAGAATTACCACTGTTGTATTGGGTCTAGCTGAGATAGAGTTCATTTCCCCATAGCAGCCCTCACAGTGCTGAGCTTTGCAATGGTAGCCAGAAAGGTGTTGGTAACACACCAGTGGGTGTTACAGCATCAGCACTGTAACATTCCTTCCCCAATGGAGGGCAAGATCCTGGGAGGGGACATAAGTAGGTGAGCTGACCCACACTAACCAAAGGGATATTCTATACCATATGGCATCAGCTCAGTTATAAAGGCTAAGGAAAAGAAGAAGGGGGGGGCATCCATTATTTTACAAATATTGCCTTTCAGAGCAACTGCTCCGCATGCTGAAGCCCTGCTTTCCAGAAAGTGGCTGAATACTTGCTAATAGGAACTAGAGAATACTTTTTTTTTTCCCCTCTTGGCTCACGTGCACACAAACTTTCACTTTTGCTTTACTAAACTGCCTTATCTCAACTTATGAGTTGTTTTTCATCTTGTTTTTTCTCCCTGGTTCAGCTGAGAAGGGGAGCGATAGAGTGGCTTAGTGGGCACCTGGCATCCAGCCAAAGGCAACCCACCACAACTGTAAACCAGATTAACTCCAGCGGGAATTAGGACCCTTGTGTTTTACTTCTGTGACTCATTCTAAATCCTCTAAAATACGTCTGATGGTAAAAAAGCATATTCTGCTTTGTCTTGTGACAAACTGGACCAAAAAGTACAGGTATCTCATTTCTGTGTAGGCTGGTTTGTTTTTTAATTAATCCTGTAAATATGCATGTATCATTTTACAAAACAAACTCCCACAGAACGCCAACTCCAGAAGTTGGCAGAAATGCAAATAGAAATTTCAAGAGTCATGCCACAGTGGAATCCAGTCCAAGTCTCCCAAGTATATATGCATTGTAGTATACCATTAGACAAACTGGAGATCGAGTGACAGAAAGCATGGCTCATGACTTCTTCAACTGGTGGCTGTGCAGCCAGCTCCAGAACTGCCATTATGCTTTGGCTCTGCAGAATCTACTGAGTACTTTAAACTGCCTCCTGTGTGCACAACCACCATGTAAAAGGAGTCCGTCACCACAAGTCAGTTAAGCTGACAGGGGGTGGTTGTGTGCAAAGTCATGGAAGATGTTTTCTCTGAGTTTTGTCAAGTATTAATTATCTGATCTTTGCTAAATATTAATCACTGCACCTTAGAGTTTTATTCCCATTTTTAGTGGAAACATAACGCTAATATTCTACACAAGTAAATCCTGAGAAAAGTCATAAGCCTTCATCTTCCAGCATTATGGATTTGCATTGAATTACATCTGTGTTCATTCACAAATTTAATTAGCTGAAAAAAATTAAAGTGAATATGTGGAACTCTCACTTTATTCTTTTAAGAAAGCTATTGTTTTCCCAGATATTTTTGTAACAAAAACAGACAAAAACAGTCAAAATGTTTTTCTCCAAACAGGCTTTCTGTGTACAAAAATACATAATACCAAAAGGACAACAAAGAGGAAAGTCTTTAAAAAATAAAACCCCAAAATTCAGCTACAATATTACTGCAGTCAAGACAGTTACAGTCTTTGAGTCTTCTACTTTTCAAACAGAATTTAAACCTTTTAAATAATTCAAATTATGCTCAAAGTTCAAGGATTTGTAGGGTTTTTTCTTTTAATATACATATATGTACACACGCAATAATAAATTTAAGTGGATGTAGAGTTGAGAGAAAAGGCAGCCCAAAGAAACGTCAGTATCTGTATTTAGTGGAATAATCTTTTGGCGATACCACCAAACCTCGACCTTTGCGGGCTCCTCTATAAACAGTTTCTATAATGTCAATCATCTCTTGCTTATCTTCCATTGCCCAGTTTATCTTGTTGTTATTACCTGTACCCAAATCAATCATGATGTGTTTGTTCCTTTAAAGAGAAAGAAAAAAAACCTCAAAGTTAATATGGCATTATATTTCAGAAATAAACTAAAATGCTTTGTAGGATTCAAAAGAAGCCTTTATAACATAAACAGGCTTTCAAAATAAGGATCCAAGAGAGAGCATCCACTCCTGTCAGTCAAGCTCACATTTTACTGCCAATTTCTAAAGTATGAATAAGGACAGCAATCATGCCGGCAAAAATGGCTACTCAGTGCAATTATCCTTCAGCATATTCCTCATTGTTTGTATATTTCCTTCCCACTACTGTCTATCTCCAGAGAGACTTATACACTTGTCAGTAGGACATTTTATCTCATCACCATAGATGCCTTAGCTCAAAAAAAACCTTATTACTTTGGATTTATCTTTAAAGCAAATTTGACAAGCTTGACTGCCGTACTACTACAACATTCTGTACGTGTTCTGAGATTTAAAACTAAAAACCAGCTTTCACTAATCACTTATCACTAATTTGTACTCTTATCAAACACTGTTACTAGGCTAATTGAAAAGCAAGCCATTGTCCTATTTAATCAGTTGACTCTTTTGTAAAGCAATGAAAATATAAGCATCAGTATGCTAATGTACATTTAGAAATTATTTACTGAGACACTGAATTTGACAAACAAAAATGAGTTACATTCTAGAACCATCACGTACCTGAAGAAAAACATGACAGTACAAGGATCATACAACTCGTACATCTTGTTGAAGTCTGGTACTTCAGTGATATCCACAAGATAAATAACAGCAAAGTTTTTAACCTAAACAGAAGAAAAAGGAAATACAAAAGCAATATATATTACCAAACCTTTCATTATTTGTAGTACCGATTTAAACACATAAGCTTTCGTTATTGTAACAATTTTCTAAATTATTAAGTCATAAAATGACAATAAATAGCCTTGCTTTTATTTTTAACCACTACAACCAATTAACATGGGAAATATTTTTAAATATAGACAAGATGCTCATTTCACATCCAGTATCAAGTGGAAAGATACTATGCTAAATCAACATCCAGAGAAACAAATGCCCTTTATATAGAGCTGAGACCTCACAGTGACATGCACAGCTGTAAACACGTGGAATAACTGCTTTGTGCAAGCCAAGCTGACACATTTTGCCTCTGTCATCAGCTGCTTATAGACTTCAGAAAATTAATGATGTACAAAGCCCTGCTGCCTGCCTTCAAGCATTTTTCCCCCTCTATAACATCAAGACTCATAAAATATAACAAGACTCATTAAATTAAAATAAAACTGATCATGTAATAAAAAAACTGGTAGCTTTTTTTGAGAGGTGCAAAGCTAAAACAGGAGCTTAAAAGTGTAATTGCTAATGAAAAAAAGACCTTGATGAGAAACTATTTTCTGGGCAATTCTGGCAAAACCAGCTTTCATTTTGCAGAGTTACTCAGTTAAATGCACAAGAATCTCTCCCCTTTAATGCCATAGTTAATGCCTTCATTCCTGCAAGAAAACCACATCACATTTTTGTTTCCTAGGTGTAGCATATTTAACCTTAAGTGGAATTAGGGGAAGTTTTGGTTTCTAAGCTTAGCTCATATGTGTACAGTAGAAATTAATACACTCATACGCATTAAGTTATAAGTCAGCAGTCACCTAAATTACACAAACCTTTAACTGTAAGGTATATTATCAAATGTTCATGCATTATACCATGACTGCACAAGTGTGCCTCCCCATCCTTAATTACATGCTAACACAATTTTGGTCCTTCCCATTTGACTACACAGAATTACCAAGCTAGGGTTAAACACACATGGTCTAAGATCTATGACAAACTTACTGTTTGTGACAGTACTTCCCACTAGTTCATTTTCCTATCCAAAGTCTAGAAATGCAGTGATGAGTATAATATCTGCTTGATATAACAGTGTTTTAGTTCACAAAACAGGATTAGATTGTATGAGAAAAATATGACACGTTGTGTACCCTGTACTTAGACATCTTAGCAGGCACTTTACCTGCGGAAGTATGGGGATGTTTGTTTGCAAAAAAACACAGAAGCACATAGTAAATAAATTTTTATGGACTTCCGCTTCAAGACGGTTTCAAAATTATAAACAATAATCACACTTCAAAGATATAAGTATTGCCAGCAAAGAAAGTAAAATCTCTTCTGAAGTGAAACAGCATTTAAATAGTTTTTACTGTGCTTTTATGGAGCCAGTTGTAGTCCTAGGTTCAGTCAGTAATCTAATGAAAACGTCCATTTAAGCCACATTCTAAATTAGGCAAGGGGTAACGCCTTATTAACTCAAGTCAGTCATAATATCAAACCCTCTGAAGGGATCCTTCAAGCCCGTTTCAATTTTATATTTAAGGTTTCTAAGAAGCTTAATGGGATGTTCAGAGACATGACTGAAGTTACTCCCTGGTTTGCTTCAACGGGCAAAAGGCAGTTGTGGGTTTTTTGGTACTTTTTTAAAAAATAAAACACCTGAAGAGCTGTTTTCATTTTATCCTATCATTTCTTCTTCCACACTTCTGGATTTTTAGCATCAGCAGCACATCTTTGCCACACGGGGAAATTTCTACAACATATTCAGCAATTTTGACAAAGCAAACAATCTTTGAAAAATTATTTAATTTGGAGATTAGAAAATATTTTTTAGGTAAATCTAGCATTAGCAAAACATTCTTAAGACCTGTTTTGTTCACTGAAAGATTAGTCCAAGGAGATTTACATGTTGCACCAGACTACCATTACAAAAGCACTGTTAAACCAAAATTTTACTTCGAAGAACTGTGTACGCCAGATAGTACTACAACAAAGAACCTTTAAAGTTAGTTTTATATTATACACATTTAATTTAGTTGAGCTGTTGGAGAATCAGAAATGCTTGTCTATAGCAGTGAACATCAACAGTTTAAGATTTCATAAAAGAGAAACAGACTATCCAAGTCTTAAATAAGTTATTATATAAATCTTACTGAAAAGGACTGGATCACTCAAATCACATTTGCACAGGCTATGTCCAAGTTATCACCATAATCCAAATATCCAAGACATTAACTGAATCTTCCTTCTCTCCTACCTACTTTTATAGAAGTGAAACTGATGACAGTCGCCTGCTGAAAAGCTTGTATGAAGTCTAAAGCAGACCTTAAAGCTGGACTCTCAACTTTAGAAGTGGCTCCATTCTTTACCTCTCGCTTTCTTAATTACAAATCTGACAAGATTACCAAAATGACTTAACTTGCAAGCCCATTGAATAAGGGTGTGTTTTGTTGAGTTTGGACACTAGCTGCCAAGGTTGCCCGTGACACGGGCCTTGCACTCCAGTGCATGTAGCAGCAGGAGGTTGGGATTCAGGCCTAAGAAGGAACTAGATAAAAACATGGGCAAGAGGCTAAATATGGAGAGGGTGATGCAGAAGCGCTGCAGTGGCCACATCTACCATTTGGAGGCCATGCCAGGCTAGGCAAGCTTGTCACCAGGAGGCATTTATTTCAACACGAGACAAGCCCTGCAGAATTACTCAAATGCCTCTCTCTGCACAGTTTTGACAAGTTTTACAGCCTGAAGCAGCACTTACTGTCTCAGACACAATATTGGAGACAAGACAGGAGCAGTACACATCAGCATCTGAGCTGGCTTCACACACAGCCAGCTCTAATTCACAAAGCTTTAGCTTAGGCTTCAATTTAAGCAAAAGATATTGAAGTATTTATGGATTCAGGCTGGTATGGATGCAGGAGTTGATCCATACTTGAGCTACTAAGCATGTGGAGACAAATAAGGTTAACCGCTCCCTGTTGGGACTTGAATCCATTGCTCAGAGTTGTCAGTTCAAAAACTACATTCCTATACAGAACAAGCTTTGCTGT